CGCTACGCTTTCCGGAACCAAAAATAAGCCACAACCGTGCATGAACGGCGCTAGCCTTGCCTCCAGTGTCTCCGATTTCGTAGCATGTTGCGGAGAACGTTGCGGGACAGTAGAAACGATCTACGTAAACTCCCTAATAACCATAGCGCAGTTTGATCACACGTTGCAATCCACCGCGACGGTGAGCAGCGAGTTTTGAGCCTGTGACACGAAGACGTCAATACAGTGAACGCTGCTCTTCCGAAGCTTGGCGGTCACCGTGCGCGGCTCACTTTTCAGAGCACTGATAGCCAGGCAAAATGCAAACTCCACGATATGTTCATCAGCCTCAAAAATATTTTGCCACAAACTGTGACGTGGCCGGTGCCCGTAACGCGCTCGCCCTCCACAAAGCTTCGCAAGTTGAAGTTTACCCAACTTTTAAATGGTCAACATGCTCGTTTTCCTAACGCACGTCAAAATCGTCACCTGTAATCTGCTCCTGCCCTGACCGCTTCGCATTTGTAGCACATTATTTTTTTGCGCACTGGCCAGCGTAAGCGAGCCGGCGCACGGGAAATCCCGGAGAATCTATCCCCGTCTCTTCCGCCATCTTGGAATTACCGCCGCTGGAGTTACGTGTGTTGCGCATCTCGGAGGGGGGGGGGGGGGGGGGGGGGGGGTGGTTTGGGGTAAGGGGTAAGGGAAGGGGGAGGGGGGGGGGGGGGGCACTGGGAAGGAGGACCTCAGGCGCTCCGATGCGCTCCGATAAGAAACCGAAACTTAAAAACGCGTCCAAATCGAGCGTTTTTACGGAACACCGTAAAATGCTGTCTTTGCCTCATATCTTTCTAAAAAGACTTCACTTACTAGTTTCTGATGACGCTCATCACGTTTCTAATTGGAACTATATGTTTATTTTGACCAGTTGAAACGGTAATTAACAAATTTTACTTAATTAGCCGACTGATCGATAGCCCCCTATGCTATGCCCCCCTGGCCATATAACTCATTTGCGCAAACGGCATAATTGTAGCTTTCACGGCTCTTTGTAAACAAATCTCTTAAGCTTAAAAGAAAATGTATATTTTAGTTTTTCACATAAAGGGAGAAATATTAGCATTGCTCCGCGAGGTGCCGGACTCTCTTACTACGGTTCTTGCAATGAAAACGAGTCAGACGGAAGGTTACCTCGACGCCCATTAGGTTTTTGATATATATGCATATATAGTATATAGATAACATACTGCTTTTGTACAAGAAGGAAGACAAGGGGTTGCTCTTAAAATGAATACTGTGAACTTCCGGTGGGGCGGCATCGCCACGCCGATTGCATTGTGAAGCGGCTTCGGTCAGGTTGACGCAGGGCGCGCAGCATTCGTTTCGTCCTACTGCAAAACGCCCCGTGTTGTCGTCCCGCGGTGGTGAGATCGAGGCGCGTTTCGGGGCCCTCCACAATGACTGTTATTTGGGATCGACTTGGCCGAAGTTGGCGCGACCTGACCCGGGGTAATTCGCGTCGGCCCGCTGTTCCCGAAGGTGAGCGGAATCGTTGGGGCGCTCGGACTTTGGTTCGGACGCAAGAGCGGGCCGTTCCGTCCGGCTCGGCCTTTCTTGAACCTGGTTGGAGAACGGCCGAGCCCGCGCGTTATCTGCCCACTCCAAGGACAACGTTGCCGACCGTTGTTCTTGGAGTGCGCGACAGAGTTGGCGCCAGCGCGACATCGGCGTTTTTTTTTCTCATTTCATTCGGACATCTTAGTACGTTCACCATATTTTAGGGCCGATGGTCCGCCGAACGCATCGTATCGCTCCAAGTTTGGTTCACACATTTGCGTTGCACTGTGACCGACTGCGTTACGATGGCTTGCGACTGCCTACGACGAAGGGGCACACTGGCGCCACGCATCAGGAAAGAGCCATTCGTACAAAAGTAAACTACGAATTATCTATTTGCCTACGATAGGTAGGCGACACCGAGGTAAAGAATATTCGAAGTTTCGATTCGCGCGCTCCTCTTACCGCTTCGTGTGAGCCGGCGAGCAATTACGTCGGGGAGGCTGTTTGTGATGCGGATCGAATCAGAAACTGGGCGCGATTACGTTGCTCGCCTAGGTGGAAATATTGACACCTATGGTCTGTTTCTGAGAGCGAAGGGTTTACGATGCATCGAGGAGAGTGGTACAATTATTTTGCGATCAGTAGGAGAAACAAGAATGACGAAGCTGAACAGTTTCTGACCTGAAGAGAGAGAGAGCGCGCTCCATGCGGACTGTAATAGTACTAACAATCAATAGTATAGTAATCAGAGTGCAGCCTAGAAGCGTTGCCTGCATCACTCAGTAGGAAACGTAAGAAATATAAATGGCTTTTTTTTTTTGGTGTTTGACAACCTTAAAACGCAAATGTATGTGGCCTCTCTTATGCGACCTAATAGCTTCGTCGACCATGCGATCGTTAGTTTGTTTACGCTTCACGCAGACGGAAGAAGGCGTGTTAGCTCACGATGACAGAAACCCTCAGATTGGGTAGCACGCAGAAAGGGGCCTCTCTTCTGTGTGTATATCTCTGCGTAGGTTTTGTCATTATGAGTAGTCACCAGCTACATTTTTTTTAACGTATAATTACGTTATAAATTTATAGTGTGGCGGTAGGCTCGTGCCTTTCCATCTCGTGACGTCGCCTCAGCTGCCTTCGGTGAGCTTGGGTTTGCTCCGTCTGGAGAGTCAAGCAGGAATCGAGGCGTCGTCCTGAATAAATAACGTCTGGGTTTTTCGACCCTGTCCTTGCCCTCTCTGTCATCCTGCGACCCTTCCCCGTCCGTTTTCCCTCCCTGTGGAAATCCGCCGATGGCCTGGGCCTGGAGTGCCGGGGTCAAGAGGACCATTGTTTGCCCGCCTTCGAGCGCCCGTCGGGATTCCGCTTTCCGCCATTCCTCCATCTCCCCGCAGAGTGCGACGGGCTCGCTCGCATTCCACCTTCTCTCGCTGGGGTTGTGGGGGAGAGCTTCTGAATGAGACATTGAGGCGAGGTAGGGAATGTGCGCTTCCGTAAAAAAATAAACAGATAAAAAAAAAAAAAAAAAAAAAAAAAAACGAAACTTGGAATATTTCTTGCTGAGCTGCACACATTGCCCCCCCCCCCCCCTTTCTTTTCCCCCAAACCACAATCCATACACACACAATGCATGCTTGGGGTGATGTTGGCTCCAGTCACTCAGAACGAGATTGTGTCACCTCTGTCGTTTAGCCGTGACAATTAACTGGATGAACAAAAAAAAACTGTAAACATTTACATTGCGACAGCTGAGATGTGACGTCGGAGCCGCTAAGATGTCATATCGGAGGAGATGGACTGAATGAACTGTAAAGGCGTAAATGTGCGAGCGTGCACCATAGAGTCCGCGTAGGCGTTTCGTATCAAACCGAGTAACGCACCGAACGAAAATTCCATAGCGTTTTGGAACCAACGAAGGTTGTAGTGAGTGGAGGTCATTTCGTGAACCTGTTAAACAATTTTATTGGATACAAATTACGAATGCCTTGTGGTAATTGAAGAACACCTCCGAAAATCGCGCGCCCAAGTTTGAAATCCAGGGAACGGCGAAACTGCACGTGTTATGCATGAACCGTTCCCTTTCGTTGGTGTGACTGCCTGAACGTCTTATGCAGTGTTATTGGGCAGAAACTAACGCCGCCTTGTGGTCGTTGAAAAACACTCCCAAAATCGCGCTCTCAAGTTTCAAGCCTGTAGCTCCACCTAATTTCACGCCCGTGGTTTCTCAGGCTTGACACCCACCTAGTAGGGGTGTGCGAATAGTGGTTCGAATCGAATAGCGCAGCGTCATCCCTAGCTTCTGCACCGTTGAAAGGACCGGTCGTCGTCGCTTTCCATTAGATTGTCACAGCTAGGAATGACGCAGCGCTATTCGATTCGAACCAATATTCGCACAACCCTACCACCTAGCTTTATTCGTTTTATCACCCGAGAACCTTTCTGCACTCTAAAAAAAGCCCGCCGCAAACGGAGGCAGCTCAGCGAATGACGGTGCCGAAACTCAGACTGCGTTTTTTGGTCCAAACATATGTTTCGGCACCGTCATTCGCTGAGCTGCGTCTGTAAGTTGCGGTGGTTGGCTCGCCGAGTGTTGTGAGGGAAAGTAGACGCACGGGCTTTTTTTTTAGTGTGGCATGATTAGCGAAAACGCTTTGTTTTTATTGTTTCCATTATCAACATTTTCATGTTTGTTTCTACGTGACGACATATTGTCACGTGATGTCACGGTGTAGCTTGACGTAACAGTGTCACGTTACGTCATGACATCACGTGACTCTTGGTGTCACCCGACCTCATTAAGTCGCGTGACTGTGCAACGTGACTTGACAATGTCACGTCGTGGTGTCAGCTGGCGCCAGATAACAGGGGACGTGATGCGCGGCGTGAACGTGACGTCAAAGTCTTCTCGAGCGGCGTGACGTCATTGTGGAATCTTTTGGCGGAGTGCCGAAAATGGCCCGCGTCGATATGGAGCGCGGTCGACGGCGCCAAACCCGCAAAGTGTCCCACGAACTGCTAGCGCAGTGAAACGTTTCTCTTGGTTTTTTAGCATATAAGGTCAATGCTTCGGCTGAATAACTTTCAGGGCTATACACGACTCGCACGTGGCATCATAGCACCGTACCAATTGTGATTCCTACTTGTTCATGCGGAGAAAAAGACAAATTGGCACCAAATATTATATGCTGCATGAGGGCACAAGCGCAGTAGCAAGGTCTTTCGCAGCGGCCGCTGATGTGATGTCAGTGCAAGCCATGTATTCGGGGGCGCGTCCGTGTATATGTCCCGCGACATTGTTCCACTGTGCTTGGTTGCATGTGCTTCTGAGATCTCTTGATACACCTCTGTAATCTTCCGTAGTGCCGGATAAAGGACGTGAACTTCTGAGTCCCGAGTCGATGAAGGACACAGTGTGGAAAGTAGAGCGTTTCGCGGTCTCACCCGACTTGTCTCTTGTTGTGCAGCTCGTGTGCAGCCTCGGCGTGGTGCTCTTCCACGCCCTGGAGCACGGACTCCGGACAGACGAGGAGCATCTGCTCAGTCGACCGTTCGAGATGCTCGTGGACCGGATGACTTCGGCGGACCCGGACGGCAGCTCGGATGGCGCCCTCAGCTCGGACGAGGAAGACGACGAAGACTCCACCGAGGAGGACTGCCATGACGAGGGCATCGAGAAGGACTCCGGGGAAGACGATCCGGGTGGCGGGGACGGCGTCGCCGGGAGGTCCTCGCATCGGTCCGGCCTCACGCTTGCCAAAGTAATCGAGGTGAGCGCCGCTCCAGTATACCCGCCACACACGCCAGCCGTGATAACGCAGAGCCTATAGACCTTTTCCACAAGGGCGCCGCCATCTTGAATTGTCGTCACTTCCAGTATGGGCGAAAACATTGTTTTGCCGTCGCCACGCCAATAGAAGACATTTAGGATATAAGCCTAACCGTCACACATTCTCGTTTTGGCTCCCCTCTATTATTTTGCTAGTTACAGGTTGAAACGTTTTATTATTTTTTCGTCGCCCATACTGGAAGTGACGACAATTCAAGATGGCGGCGCCCCTGTGGAAAATGTCTATAGTCCGGCCGTCGAGACGTCATTGTGAAACTGTGCAATGCTGTCGCTTCATGGGGAGCGCGAGAAGGCGTGCGTGGGCCCTTCTCATATATATCTAGACGGCGTACTGACTACGTCGCTCAAATTTAGCTACGAGACTAGATCGTGTTTCGCGCCGAAACTTTCGAGGTGGTATGTAGAGTGAGCGTTAATCTATCACTCTTTGTTTCCGCATTTTAGTACGCGTATCATATGCGTGCACATGATGCGATGTGCATCGAGAGTAAAAATAAATAAATAAACAAATCGCAATATTCGGGGAGAGGGGCGCCGATAGTCGCGTATATTAACGACCGTTGAGGTCGAGAGAAATCGGGTTCGTTACTTTTCATTATTTTGCTTGGAATATGTGGTAAATCATAGTTCCCCCCCGTTTCATGGTCCCTGTAATTTTTTTTTTCTTTTTCCCGTCTACCCGTATACTTGGCACGTGAGGCTGTTGACGTGGCCGAGTCAGCCTCGCCGGAGAAGTCTGGAAACGATTTAGGCGCATTCTCTGCGCAGTGTCACGGTGTAATGCAGTCCCTCCGCTGGGGCGACGCTTCCACCTAATCTGTCGTGCCGAAAAGGACCTTCGCGTGATCGCCACAGGAAATGATGCTGTTCGGAGCGAGCCACCCTAAAGAAACGTACATTCCGAGCTTTTATAGATATTGCACAAAGGGACGCGTATAACATCTTGCGCCCGGGAGAGCGCCAAACTGAGAACAAACAGGAAACATCTTGTTTTTACCATCTGAAGCAATATTCGCAAATGTGATCACGCACCGGAAATGGGGACGTTCTTTTCGGGTGGCCTGTCGCCGCGTCCTTACTTAATCCCCTACCTGGAAAATCCCCCCTGATGTGGGTACAGATTTGGGAATGGTTGCGTGGCTGTGGGAGAGAACTAACCAATTTTACACCCTCAAGGGTGTGAACCAGCCAGTCCCGTTGCTAACACTCTTATTTTGCTGGCGAACACCCTAAAAACAGGTGCCGGCAATCTTAGGCGCTTTTAGAGGTGAGCGCGTTGGTATATAGCGTAAACACATAGAAAATCATTAAACATAGAAGAACAGAACTCAGAAAGAACATATACGTTGTCCGTATTTAGTTCTTTCGCGAGTTTAGTCATAGCTGCAGGTCCCCTAATTCTTTTCCTTATATTTTCTTTCGAGCGAGAAGTTTGTAAGCGACACGCACCACATACAAGTGTCGCATGCACAGAAACCACACACGTAATGAAGCACACACGAAACCGGAATCAGGAATCCGTGTACTGCTCCACCGCCTTACATTCTCGCCAATTGAAACATACTCATTTTCAGGTGAGCACCTCCGCAATTGCGAAGGTTACGAGTATGGTGGTTTGTTTTCGCCAGTATGACTTATAGCATCATAATGTCTCGCAGTTCAAGGAATACATTTCAAAGTAAAAATCATTGGTTCAGGCAAACATTATTCGATCTTTTCGCTAAAAAAAAACCTCCGCTAAAACTGTCCCCGCACAGCAACCGCAACACCCCTTTCGAAACCCTTAAAAAAACCGAAAAGTGTTTTATGCAGCAGCACCCTATTTTACGATTAAGAAAGGTGTATTACTCGAAATAAGGGCATTGAAAAGGTATAGCCAAGGGTTTTCATACCCCTAAGGATGTAAATATCTGTAGTGTGCAGTACCATTCTGGCATCTGGACGACGCAGCACGGTTAAGGGCACAGGGTAAGAGAGGGAGAGAAAAAAAATTAGTTTAAGTTTTTTTTCTTTCATTTTGAAAAGTTCATATTTTTCTGCGAATTTTCCTTTGTTACACATTAGCTGGAAAACGCCTTTTCCGAAAGCAAGTAGCGGGTGACCACGGCCCCTTTTGGGATACGTTCCCTGTTTATCAATAAATTTTCAAAAAAAAAAACAAAAAAAAAAAAACAAGTTACCTTAAGATTTAAAAGCATGTTCGGAATGAGCTACATCTTACAAATGATCATGCAACTATTGCAAAGTTTGTGCCGACCGAACGAGACGACAGGCCACAAAAGAGGCCCGGCAAGCAAGGCGACAAGCTGAAACGCGAAGACCTGGCTAACAATGATTCCAAGCTGGCGGCTATTGAGGAAATGACTTTGAGGGTGCTGGTGCCGAGAACGATTTGTTATTCACCTGTCTTTTGACTTTAAACTCGGTTTATCGAAGCAGTGTTTTTCAGTACAAATGTACCATCATTTCCTTAACCTGCCAATATAGAGCGTTGATTTTTTTTATTCCTGCCACCTACGTAGGTGTTCAAAAGTACTGACCTAGAATTTAAAAAAAAAATATATATATATATATGCACCTAACAGTTAAACATTTTTTCAATGCACTAAGAGAGCTAAAATTTCAACACTAGAAAAAAAATAATAAAAAATTTAATTTTTAACTGGTGTTATTAATTCTAGTTCAGTAGAAAAAGCGCAACATTTGGAACAAAATGCAATATATATGACAAAAATATTGCAGAGAAAAGTGTTCCTCAACATGGTCTACGACTATAGTAGCGGCAATTAAGGGTAGCCCTAAAATAGTGCTCGGAGGGCCAGTGGTTCCTATCGAGCTTATCGGTTCGATACGGATCAATGAACGAGTCAACGAGATACCAGGTTGATACGGTCAGGCGGAATACGGGCGCACGCAGTTTCCGGGCGAGTTGGTCGTCCGGTTGCACGGCGCTGCTGTGCGCGTATAGATTTTTATCGCTTTTGAGAACGATTCGGTTGTGCCAACTTCGCGAACACAGGCTCAAGCATTAACAACGGAGGGCGGGAGAAAGCGGGACGCCCGAGCGGAAAGCGCACGAGCAGCAGCAGCAACAACAGCAGCGCGAGTGCGAAATTTTCAAAGATGCATGTTCGCGCGAAGAAGGCGTGGCGGGCTTTTTGTTCTGGGGGCATTTGTTTTCGGCTCCGTGGGCGCCGAGCAAACCTGACTTCGTTGGCACCGAACGTGGGTGACGTAAGCGCCCTTTACGAAGAGGAGGCCTCGTGGGAGATGTGACAAGGTTGGTGCGGTCTCTCCGCGAGTGTGGACAGCGGGGCTCTCTCGGGATAACCGCGGGCGCAGCCGCGGGCAGACGGGGCCCGTGTCCCTTCGTCGCGTGGGCAGGTCTAGTTAACGCGGATGCTCTGATCCACTCGAGGCCCGGAAGGAAGCGTATTCGGAAACAGTTTCTTGGGGCGCCGGGTTGCTCGGCCGTGGACGGTTCTCTCTGTCGTCGGGAACGGCCCGTTTCTGCTTGTCGCTCGTACACCGCGGGCTTTGTCCGCGTGCGTCATTGTGAGAAGCGTGAGAAAGCACCTATCACGACTTCGCCCTTGACCGGCCGGTTCCCTTTCCTTTGTTCCTACGGAGTGAATTTGGTCCGGCGTTTGAAAAATGGCCGCTTCACTTCGCGCTGCCCACGGTACGCTTCCGTCCGTCCCTCGCTTCGGGAGACGCGGAAAATCCGCAGCGCGAGGTTCTTTTGTTGCACAGTCGTGACTGCCAGGCGTTTGCGCACGCGTTGTTGGAGGGCACGCTCGGGGCCCCATCGGGCGTCGCTGCGCTGGGCAGCCCGGCGCTCGCTCGGCGCTCTACCGTCGGCACCTGATTTCCTCTGGGGGAAACGCTCCTTGACCACGGCTACCGAGCAGACGTCGAGTGCTCTCACAAGTGCCGTTGTCTCGAAGGGACAACAGAACGCGAGTCTGTTCAACAGATTCCACACAAACCCTCGATGCCCTCCAAGTCCCCGAAAAATAACCGTAAATCAGACGCATAGACGCTTAATATTGCTTCCTTCCATTAAAAAAAAAAAAAAAAAAAAAAAAAAAAAAAATTAACATGAACAATTCGATGACTGCCGAAACATCTGAAAATGTTGCCTCTGTGCTAGTTGCTGCGTGCATATAAATAACGTGCTTCGCCGCGCGGGACTTCGACGTCGGTATCAAGTGTAGGATTTCAATAACATGTACAGTACAGCCCCAATCCTACGTAACTGGAGCGATGCTCCAGTTACGTAGGATTGGGGCTGGGGATTGGGGCATTGGGGATTACGTAACCTACGTAATCCCCAATCCTACGTAACTGGAGCGATGCTCCAGTTACGTAGGATTGGGGATTACGTAGGTTACGTAATTCTTCGCTCATCGTTTTGGACAGCAGCATGCTCCGATTGGTCGGCTGTGCGGCTCTGACCAATCGCAGCAGACGATGATGTCCCGGTCCTTTGACCCCGCCGCGTAGATTAGGGCCCCTGATGAACCGTGACAAGATAAGTGGTTATATTCCTTTTGTCATTGGTCTAAGATTTGAAAGAAAACTGAGGTGACGCCGTGTAGATTAGGGCCCACGACAACAGGTGTTTTGGGTCACGACAAAAACCAGTGCTCCGGTTTCGAGGTTTAGCCATACTATTTGTTCCTTTCAAAGGAAGGAGGGGTTGTGTTTTTGTAACAGCTGTGAATCATAGAGTTTTCATAGAAGGGGAAAGAGGGGGCGAGCACTTGAAGCTTCTTTATTACTCCCTCAGGGGCGTAGCCAGGATTGTTTTTCGGGCCGGAGGGGGAGGAGGAGGAAAGGGGGGAGGGGGGGGGGGTGAGGTGGCTGGGATGTCCAGGACTGGGGGTGTGGAGGGGGGGGGGGGGGGGGTGTAGGGGTGTCAAAATCATGTGTATATTATAGGGACGGCTGGGGATTTCGGGAACTTTCCTGGCTACGCCGCTGTACACCCTTTGCCACGCCGAACAGCTGGGTGGGTTTATGGATAGGATGGGATGAATACGAAGTAGGCTGGGCAATTGATCGATTAACCTACCGATTAATCGATTAATGCTTTAATCGCGATTATTTTTTTCTTACCGGTTAATTGGTAAAAGTTTGACACACAAACAAAAATAATATTGCTCGACTTCGCCATGCAGAAGTGGACGAATGCAGCTGTATGAAGGGCAAACTTTAAGTCAAATTTCAGCCTAAAGTAAAATGTAGGGTCAATATTTGGAACTCCTGACTACAGCAGAAGGTTGCATATGTCCCGGCACCTCCAACGGCGTTCAAGTCTCCGTTTAGCGCAGCAGACAGTATTGCGAGCATTCAGAGCAGGTCGCTCTTGGCGGAGGACATCAACGAACCTCTTTTCCTCATGCAGCTGAAGTAAGAATCTGCGAGTGCCTTTGAACATTTTTTGAATCACACATCGAGGTTGATTCATCATTAAAATTGTATGTGCACTGCGCGCTTGACCGCATGTTCAGCAAAAGCAATATAAAACGCGCACACACAAAACATTAATCATTTATGACTGTTTTCGAAGATTATGCGCGAAAATTACCAACACCGATTAGTCGATTAAAGGGTGGCGATTAATCGGGTTAAAAATTTTAATCGACGCCCAGCCCTAATACGAAGCTCCCAGCGACTACCTTCAGGTGTTTAGTGATTTTAAGGTTTCGGCTTTTGTCGAAGCAACGCTTGTCTGCAAGTTTTATTGTGGGATAAATTAGTATTGCCAATGACGATGGCGCCAACGCCAAATCCACCTGAAGAAATATTGACACGAGCGCGTTCTTTTCTTAATCCAGCACACTTTTACCACCCCGAATATTTTTCTTATAAAAAACACTGCAAAATTAAGCTCCGAAAATTTAGATTTGAAGAAAAATAAACTCCCGATAAACTCCGAATTTTTGTTAGAAAAATAAACTCCGAAAACACGGGATCCCAGTTAAGCCCCACTACCTATACCCTAGACTTTCGGTTCACATAAACATGCTCGAATTCTATTTTGCTCTAGTTCCTTTTTCGCTAAGCTTCCCTCCCGCTCTCCACAGTTCAGTGCGACTGTGCGATGCATCCGGGCCTATCGGTTCCCGCGTGACCTATCCGCTCGCACAAGGCGCTGTTCGACGTCGGGCAGCCAGCCAGCCCCCTTCTACGCGACGCTAACCATTCTCGTTACGGAAGCAACCGCGACGGGTTCCCGCAAGCGCGCTTCACTGCGTAGACGTCGTCGGGAGTTGCGCTTCGCCGGATGGCCGGTTTCCCTTGGGCGCGCTTCGCTGCACAATTCATGAATCGCGCTGTTCAAACACACCCCATCACGCTAGTCCGTGCGTACTCTGAGGGAAAGCGAACCAGAGACGCGGGGAGGTCCCGCCTGGGCCAGCTGTTTGTGTCTTGTTCCCTCAAAGAGAGCGAAGGTTTTGCAAGTCTGCACTGGAAGCAGCGCAACTCGTTTGGTGGTCAAGTTATTGAAACGGACTTTCACTCTATTTCCTGAGTGATGTGGAGGGATCATTAATTGATGCTGGGCATCGATATGGTCATTCCAAATTATAATTTTAGCGAGGTTTTTGGGAAAATATCGAGTGGACACAATATGCCACATTATTTTATTAGGGTTTCTACCATTACACATTCTCAGCATCTGTGTGACAAGTGCTTTTACATTGGTGATTCATGTGTTACTTGGTGGCATTGGGTGTCTTCTTACACTTTTCATGTGTTCGATATGTGACACGCAACTTTATGGGTTAGCATGCATAATTTTAATAAAATAATTGAGGTAGCTGCATGATGAATGAATGATTTTACCCATATCCTTATTTCAACAAGCATGGCCTATAATTTCGTTTTTCTGTTTTTATCCAGACATAGTAAATTCTAACAGTTGACTAAACTTAAGTTTGTTTTCCCTTTGATTGCAGATGTGTGCTTCCCACCTCCAAAACCCAGCACAAGCCGACTCCCACTACAAGGCTGTCTGTAGAGCGCTAGTTGCTGAAGCGTTGGAACTTTCAACCTTTCTACAAGAAATTTCTAGGGGAACCAAAGTGAGTAAATGGAAGAATGACGAGACCTAAGAAGTTCCTCACTCACACAGATCAATACTATACTCGCTATGCAATACGTGCCATCTGGTGTCAAACAAGTCAAACAGTTCCAGTGATTGAGGGACTGTGTCAATTGTGCCTAAGTGCGCCATGAACGCAAATCTGCTACGTGTCGCGCCAAAATGCCATTTTTGCTCTAAATTGCGCTAGACCTGCTCCAGGATGAGCTTAAACAAAGAAAAAAAAAAGAATTTGTTATTGGTTGAAATTAATATTGAAAGAAGTAGAAGAGAACGAAAATGGTACAAACATGTATTTCACGTTGCCTCTGCTCACCGTAATTCGCTCGTCGACCGCGCTGGCCACGTCATCGTCTGAACTTCCACACGATGATGGCGGCGATGTCACGGAGCTAAATGTTGCGAGAAAAATTCATAAATAGTGGTATGGTGACTGATGGGATAAGTCAGAATCAGGATCTCATTATTGCCTCTCGCCTCAACCTTCGCCTCCTCGCACAGGCGCACGTGCGTTGAGCTTCACCGCTTCGCATCGGTGTGCTAGGAGAAGCGGCTTGCGCGGGGGACAGCCATGTGCTAGTGCGATGGCCCCGGAATTTATGCTCAGCACTATTACAGGTCATCCTTTTTTGGTCTTGATTGTAGGTCAATCTCTAATTTAAAAAATTGGTGCCGAGAAAGGAAAATGAAACAAAGATCACATACCTATATTTCAGTACGTGGTCATGGTAGTTCTCACGGAGCAGTCGATCGAAAGGGCACCAAACTCTGGCTCTAGTGCCTCCAACTCTCGCAGAATTAGAAGTGGCACTTTTAAAGCTAAACTCTGATTTTTGGTAATATTTGGGGAGAGCAGTCTTTTCCGTTTATGATATTATATACTTGAGTTTTGTAGTTTCATACATTTTGTTGCAATATACTTTCATTGATTGACATTTTAACGAATATGCTAGTTAATTTTTTCCAGAATTTTACATAAATGATCTTGACAGGCTACATTAACCATGAGCATAAAAAAATGGAGTGGGAGAAACACTTTATCTCAGCAGAAGTATTTTGCTATGACTAATTTTTCAACCATTTTTTTCCCAATTCTCATTGTAATGGAACCTACTTTGACCTGGGCATTGTTTAGAAAAAAAAGGGTGGTGTCATGTTGTACTTCCAAAATTATTTATATGTGTTATAATTGCAAAAGATAATATGTAATATGCTTCCATATCAAAGATGAACCCTGAATTATTATCAAAGAGGACTCATCCAGGTGATGCAATTATCTTTTAATTTTTAAGTGATGTTCTAACAGATGTTTGGAATTTGCTTCCAAAGGGTTAATGACTGCTCGAAACCAACATTGTGCTTGCTACAAAAAGTTAAATGCCACTTCCATCACTGCAGTTCTCACTAGCAAAGACAGCAAAAATACTAAAGACATTTTTCGATGACCCACCTTGTAGCGTTTTTGCCTATTGCTACAACTATACTTGTCACCTGGAAAAGTGCAGCACTGTTCCCACAATAGCCTTGGACAGTTAAATCAATGCATTCTAGATTAATGAATTGATATCAAGATAATCCTTCAGATTTCATGATAGGTTGTGTATAGGACCTTCTAGCAAGTACTATAAATCGGTACAAAAGCATTTTTTTTCAAATGAATAAGTCTGAAATCTTTCTTTGTTATGCTATACCTTGTTTTCTGATTTTCTAACCCTGGGTTCTGATACTGAACCTACCTGGAAAGTGTATTGTATTGTAGTGCAGTGTAGCACAAAACTATCAGGAGTATAACCAGGGGAGAGAGAGGGTGAGGGGGGTGAACTTATACCGTAAGATCTCGTATGAATGCCCTCCCCCGAGAGATCGTCAATCCCGTTTTTCTGGCTGAATATTCATAGCATAAAAATTCCAAAACCTCGTCCACCCCTCCGATTCCCGTCAAATATCACGCAATGTGCGAAGGGAATCACATCAACTGCATGATCTGCGGTACCGGTACGTGTGACAAAAGTTCGTAGCAGGTTGCCACGTTTTTGTATGCAATCTGTGCGTGTGATATGGGTTCCCGTGACACCTAAGTTTTTAGCGGGTTCTCGTGTGTTTATTGCTCCGCGATGCGCAAATCTACTGCGTCCGTAGTCTGCGGTATATCCTTTCCCGTGACACAGGAGTTCCCGGCGAATTCCTGCATGTTTATCCCATCTTGAAGCGCAAATTTGCCGTGTTCAGAATCCTGCGGTATGAGTTCCCCTGTCACGTGCCTTAAGCGCTGTTCACACACTTGCAACCAAGTAGGACCGAGAGAGGCAAGACCTTGTCTTGTGACTGCGTAGGACCAGATGCACTGCTGCAGAGCAAGTCCTATGCCGTCGTAAGAGGCTTAAAAACCGGTCTTGTCTCTCTCGGCCCTACTCGGTTGCAGGTGTGTAAACGCGCTGTTCACACACTTAGTGTTTATCACTATTTTTTTTAAATAAAATCTTGCTGTGGCATCCGAAAGATAGCCCACCCATTCCATGTTTTTCATCATTTATCTCTCCATTTCGAGTAAGGTGTCCTTACCCAATTTTATGCTAGTTGTGCTATCCTGTTATAATAAAGTGCAGCAGTGGCCTTTTTTATATAATAGTTGCAAACATTATCTGTGCTTCAGATACTTGAATTGTGAATTAGATTTCAAATCTGGTAAGCGACTTTTCATGGAGGGTAGTAGGTTTGTAATGCACCAAACTGGCTTTTGACTTCGTCCACACAGAGAAATACTTAACACATCTAGGTCTTCCAAGAGTGCAGTTGCATAGGCAGTTGAACCATGTGGAGGTTGCAGATAGTAATATGATCCACTTCAAATTGACATGAATTTGATGAGGAAAATGCATGGATACAGTTTGTAGCTGTGATTCAGCAGCTAGAATATTATCTGCAGGCATTCACATATTGTGAATTAACCTGGAAACAGCCATAAGTAAAACAATTTTGATTTGTGTGATTACATGCACACAACCAAGAGTGGACAGGTCTCTCTCTTTTCTAATGAGTGAGTTATTGCACTAGGCTGCTACAAAAACGGTGCTGAGAGGCTTTGCCAGAGCAGAAAGAAAGAACATTTTTCTTGAATCACTTTGTTCTTTTATATGGAAGCAGAGCACTGAAGTATTTTGAAGTTTGACATAGCTGGCTGTTCAGAGGCTTAGTATTTATTAGTCCTTCTGAACAAAAATCCTCTTTAATGCATCTCTAATAAATGAAGATTATGGCAATACATTGATTATCATTTATAATTTTTTTCATATGTATACTATGAGGGTGCAATTATAGTAGCTCAAAGCTTGTGAAAAAAAAAAGAAGAAAGACGTAGCACATGTAACTTTTGACTAGTTTTATGCTTTGCAAAGAATAGGGGTTGCCATAACACTGGAACAAACTATAAGATCCCTTGGCTCAATATGTAAATTCTTGCTGTCTCTATTTTTTTACTTTAGTTCTTTAATCACACCTTTTTTTCCTCATAATTATTTCAGGAATTAATACCAAGTTGCCGCCATGATGACGCCGATACCTCAAATCTGGACAACCTACAATTCCAGGACTGGGTAATAAAATTTTGCTTGTTATTTAAGAACTGCCATTTATTTACAGTGCCATATTTGCTCAAGCTGATTGACCAATGTTTAATGTGATACTGACACCCTAAAAAGTTTTTGCGTGATATACTAGATTGTGGTCTTCTTGTTACCAATATGGATATTTGCCAAGAAACATAATCAACAAAGAAAGTCATACCGAAACCAGAGGACCAGCATGGGAGACTGTGACATCAGGGTGTAAGGGTGTCGGGGATAATCACTCCATGTGGAATCTCGAGGAGTCAGTCCCCGCAACTATGTGCTTAGTTTCTTTGAATTTACACAGTTTTGGTGTTTCAGTTGTCATAAAATTACTTTTCATAGATGCAATTACATTTAATTATCAACATGTGCCTCAGACAAAAAAGAACTTCAAAAAGAGTTTAGGTTCTGTGTCATGGCTGCACATAACCAAGGAGAGAAAAGGAAGTGAGAGCAGAGGCCTGAAGGCCCGATTCTCGACCAAAAGTTTTCTGCACACAAAAAAAAAAAAAAAAACATTTCTGGCCACAGATGTTTTTCTTAAGTACCGTATTTACTCGAGTAATAGCCGCTCTATTTATGAAAAAGGCCCTTGCGTCTACCTTCCTACAGAACACATATACAGCCAATCATTGCGTTGCGCATAAATAACATAGCGAATAACGAGATCGAAAACACGATTCGTTATACAAATTCAATCTTCACAGATATTATCTTCGCACAAAGACGTTATCTCTGTCCTGTAAACAGATGGAATCATGCTGTCGATCGCGGTGATTGGCAATCTGCGTGCTCGGCGGAAAAGCAAGCCCTCAGGTTTTCTTCTTGAACAGTGCGGCTATTACTCAAGTAAATACGGTAGCTGTCCCTCATTGCTTGTGTTTCAGTAAAACTCTTGGCTAGCATAAATACCTTGGCAGTATCCCTTTAACAATCCCTGAGTATGTATCAGCATGAATCTTTCTTTTATCAAGTAGATGCCCAAATCAGAGGTTTAATTCACAATCTGAAGAGGACATTATGGGAATTCTCAATCACCCTTTGGGCCTTTGATTGTCATCACATCCCTGAAGCAATTGATTGAGACATTGTAGAATCTGTTTGGTATTTGCAACCCTCTGCTTGCCCAGAGAAACAATACTTTGTTCTGGTAAATAAAATCAAACTATGCTCAACACTGTGCAAGTGCAGGCACAAAATTTGACTACTGAAATCATTCATTGCATGCATAGCACACTTCTGGAGATATTTTTTGGTAACTGTTCAAGGTCACAATATTACTAGAAAGACCTAAAGTTCTGGTGTGATCTGGCTTACTGCACAATGCTTTTGAATTGCTATCATCTGGACAGAATGCATACTGTGAATTCAATGTTAGTTTTCTCTTCTGCATCAGTGTCTTTTTGGTAGCCACACTCTTTAAGCTGTCAAGCCACAAAAAATATAATGAAAAGAGATAATGGAGACTGTATTTTTATTTGCTAATATATACATCGTCTTTTTTTCTTTTGTGAACTGCCCATTCATGCTTGGATAATAATGTGGTGAGCAATTTAATTTAATTTGTTATCCTCATGAATGGTCTTTGAGCATCGACATGTCTAACTAAATGTAGCACTGCAGTAATTATTAACATAATTGCATGAGGTGCCTACCACAACACTCGGAGGAAAAAAAATATAATAATGCAGGCCAGCTCAATGAGCTGAGCCCCTGGTACATTCATTTTTGTCTGTCAAAACTCTGAAGCTGTCTATTTTTTAATACATCAGTGTGATGGTGTTGTGTTTTGCCTCTGTCAAATCAGGTTCATCTACCTTATACTGCATACGTATAATGTTGATACTAGTAAACATACACATTGTGAACAATAAAGGCTTTTGGCTACTATAAGAGCCAGTATAAGGGTGCCCATTGCATTTAAAATAATGCATCACAAATAAAGGCGTAGTTATGATCAGATACCTATATGCATTCTCCAAACACAATAAATCAACAGCCATCAAAAAGATTGAGAGCGCCTGGATTATTTTTCTGCTGTGTGAAAGACAACACGAAATTTGCAACCATGCATTGGTTTTGATTTCGCATCTGCCTCCTCTCTATGATGATGGTAATGTTATATTGTGGCCTCCCACCTTATTTACCTCTACATAATTTTTCCATTGGGAAAGAGAGCTACAGTACAGTCACTGGTAGATAGAGAACGGCAGGGAGGTGCTTCCGTTGTCCCGCCTCCAGAGCTCACTCCCTACCTTCGACAACGCTTCGGCATCTTGTGAACCCCGAGCGTGCACATGCAGCCCAAGCACCACCAAAGGCATTTGCTGGAGGCTGAACATTGGAAAGATATGCCCTGCCGTTCTCATGCTACCGCTGACTAGAGTGAACACATTGATTACAGAGAGCGGGACTAGCAGCACGGAAATTTGGCTCGGATGAAATCAAAACCTCTGCACGTTTCCTCGACTTTATCTCACGAGTTCTGTGCAGTGTTGGCAAAGGTTTGAACATGAGCACGTGACTTTTAAAGGTTTCTTTCCCAAGTGCTCGCCTCTGAAAGTTCCTTCCATGCACGAGTGCTCATGCAAACGAAGCATGCAGCAGGGAAACTCTCTTACACTGTTGCCTTTGTTACATGCAATTTGTGATGTGGGGTATAATTGCGCATTTCCTCACTGTACAGAAAAATGGAGCACGAAAGCTTGCTGAGGGTAGCTGCTGTAGTGGTTTTTCATGATACTGACCAAGTTTCACTTGAAAGTATTTTAAATGCTTATGAGCTTGTTATATGAAACTTTTAAAGACTTATTTGTTCCAAAAGGTATGTACACCTTTAGGTTGTCCATTTTTGTAGGGACTAACTATTTGAGTATCAGTATTTTTTATGTGCAGTGTGTAGTCTTAACAAAGGATTTCCAACCTCCGTTTCCAGAAACACCTTGAATATTTATGGCATCAACGAGCAAAGGTGTTTATGCACAAAAAAACTGTCATGAAGACACTGACTGAATCAATTTTTAGAGAACCATGCAATGGCCATTAGAGCCAGACCAAAGATTAGCTTTCACCACTACATTTTGTGGTAATCATTTTGTCCACTTCTGGAGACAAGCTGTGAATATGACAGAACCTTAAAGCAGTATTCGTGCACCTACTTCCAGATTTTGAATGATGAGCACCAAGAATTTCATTTCATCAAATGTGTCTTTAGATTGGCAAATGGTTAGAACTCTTGGGAAATTTCTGATCGTTCATCATCTCCCTGTGTTAAATCTTTGCATGTGCAACACGGGACTATGTTTTGTTGCTCAGTAGACATTCTTCCTAGCTGCATATATTTTTTGAGGCACCAGCAAACCCTCAGTCTTAAAACAAAGAAAACAACAAAAAACCTCACATTCTGTGGTATTTACAGCTTGAGTTCCTGTATAAGCTCCCTACGGGAGCCAGAGTTGCGCGTCTGTTTTCCACTTGCCACCACGCCGCTTTTTGCTGAGATCCGATCACGTGAGGAGCAGACTCAAATGCCGTGCAGGAAAGTAGACGTTGCACGCGCAACGGCGTACGTTCCCATGCTTTTAAGCGCGCTGCGCGCCTCAAACGCGCGGCGCTGCTATTCGCTGAATTCAGTCACGTGAGGAGCAGACTCCAAATGCCGTGCAGGAAAGATGGCGCTATGGGGATGAACGCGCAACTCTGGCTCCCATAGGGAGCGTATACAGGAACTTTAGGTACAGCAATTGTCATCAGTTGATCTGTCTATCACAGGTTGGTGAAGTGAATCCATAACTTGACCTTTAGACCCAAAACTGCCAACATGAGAAATGCTTATCATTGATATGCAATGCATTTAGGAGATTTTCCAAGCAAACATGACAAGGGGAACTGAGGGAGAGGAGGAGACGAGGGCGCGGGGTTGTCAGAACGCCGAGCTCTGATTGGAAGGATTAGTGGGGAGACCGGAAGCTATAGCTGCTTTTGTTTCCACTGCACTTGTCAAATGCATTAAAATGCAAAACGCCGGCGTCCGGTGTTTGGTTTTTGCATTCAAATGCCTTTGACGAGTGCAGTGGAGACAAAGAAAGCTAGCTTTAGGTCTACCCACTAATCATTCGAAGCAGAGCTCAGTGTTCTGACGTTTCTGTTCCTCAGTTTCTCGGCGGATAGAAATGTAGAAGCACCCCTTTTATGTTTAGAAACCTTCCATTGTTTTAGGTTTTTCTTCTTCTTTATTTTAATAGATATTTCAATGCATTTTGTTCATAGGTTGCGTAAAATTTTAGGGCTGTCAGTTCTAAACTGAAGTTAAGAGCACTTTCATGCAATATTGAAGTGCTCTCTGGGAAAGGGAAATGCCACAAAGTGGTCTCTGCCTCTTGTAAAGCAGGAGGCGATTTTACTTGATGTGAAGAGTGTCTTAGAGTAATTATCACCAGAAATACAGCCTAGAAAGAATTGAAAGCAAGTATGAAAACCCCTAGTTCGAAGTTTTTACCTAATGAGCTCAGAAGTCAGCAGTTAGCCAAGTTGTTGACCTATGGTTTTACTGTCATGTAAACCAAAAGCTGGGCTGCTAAAGTTGGTATTTGTATGCTCAGAGTTACTTCGACCTGTTTCCTAACAATGTGCCATAATTTTATCTTCGTTTACTAAATTGGAAATTCTTTTATTTTGAAGCTTGTCTGCAATTCTTTTTTCATCTCAAACAGCAATGTAGAAATATTAAACTGGATAGCAACATGAATCCAGATATGGTGGAAAGCTGCAAAATGGAAAGCTGCACTTTTCATTTTGTGCTATAACTTTGTAAAGGAGTGTTCTAATAAAATCTGTTTGTGTACTGTGTGCAGGCCATGCTCTGGATGCAGGTCATCCGTGAGCTGCGGCGAGGAGTCAAGTTGAAAAAAGTGGATGTAGAAGCACACCTACACCCTGTGGAGTACGAGCTTACGCCTTATGAAATGTTGCTGGACGACATTCGCTCTAGGAGGTACAAATTGAACAAAGTCATGGTGAGTAGCCTAGTTTCTGCTAAGATATATATGTATTCTGTGGCACTATATGTTATATTTACTGGTGTACGGATACTTGAATTTTAGAATGGTAGTTTTGAATAATACACTAGTCGATATTCACTTCGATATGAACTGTGATATTCATATTTTTCCAAGTGTTGATCGCGGCAGGGTAGCCTCGTTGAGCGCACTTGTTACCGAGCACCGGTGTACCGCGGGAAAGCAGCACCCTGAAAGTACGCTTCCGCGTATGTGGCTTTCCCGCAGTGCACCGGTGCATGTTAAGAAGCGCACTCAACGGGGCTAACCCGCCGCGATCAACACTTTAAGAGCATAAATATCACAGCCACGTTCCTAGAAAAAAAAGCTCATTTCCAATGCTTGATGGTGCATTCGTGCGCCTTGTATCTAAAAAAAAAACGGAAACTTCATGAATGCTGATATCTACATTGCAGTAAAATTTTCAATATTGAACTGGCATGCATCTGTATATGTAGAGAGGCACTGACGATCTGTGTTAAAGAGGCGGTGCAACGATTTTCGGACTTTGGTCAATTAACTGCGGAAATTAATATGTGTCGCCTATGGAACAAAGAACAGAAAACTGTATTTTCTTGCGAGCGCACGTTTTTATTTTAAAAAAGAAAACAAATCGAAGGTCAAAATGCCTCTCAACTCGACACGTCGCCTTTCAAGTGACATACTCTGGGGGATCACATGGTTTCCCCGGGTTCGAAACCCCAGCCGCATCCTCCGCGATTGTCGACTTTTAAAGGATTAGCATCGTGTGAGGTCGCGGCGAGCGGTGAACACAAAAGACGGTTCACTGTGAGGCTGACAGCGAGTGTGGCAGCGGAGGGGGACAGGTTTTGTGGACTTCAGCATATCCCCCAGAGACGCTGCCATCGTAGTTCCCGTAACCACCACTCGCAACTGCAGATCGGCAAATAATTTTTTTTTTCTTTGTGATTACGCAGCGGAATAGCACTTTTTTGGGGCAAGGTGAAGAGTTTTTGGCCACTTGTGCTTGGATAAACAATATAAAAAATTCAAATTGCCAATTTTTTCAACATTAAAATTGTGGCATTACGCGTTTTATCATACGGGATTGAAAAAAATATATTTGCATATAGCAATAATATTTATAAATCCCCTTGATTAGGTATAGGTGGGCTTCTCTATAGGTTTAATGTTATATCAAATGTATCATTTACTTGCCATCTCATGCAGGCATTGGACTTTTGGAGGCCACAGTCAATAAATATAGTTAGATTAACATGAATTTATCTCAGAAATGAACAAGTAGAAGCATGTCAACAACTTTCACAAGTTCAGCTGGGTTTTCATGGAGGCATGTTGCAGGAGTGAAAGGCTTAAAGAAACTATTTAATATTCTATCATATTCGGGCAAAACCACTATTCACTGCAAATTTGCTTCAAACTCAAAATCCACTGTGCTCATATGCCTAGTTCTGTTACAATGGGCACCACATTTTGGTTCTCAGTCTATCAGACAGATAATGAAAGGTTCTATCTTGAGTTGCTCATTTTTTTTAAATATTAAGGAGTAAAATGCGTAATTTATTGATTAATTGGACCCTACTGTTTCGTATATCTCAAATTGCCAACACCTTGCATTTTCAAGCTTTTTTTTTTTTTTCTGTTGTTTTACATTGTTAGGTAATTCAGATTTTTCTGCTGGCCTCACATTCATGCCTTTTATCTTCAACCCCTTGTTTGGGTAGTTGAATGTGTGATATATTAACCCCAGTCCAAATTCAAAATCTAGTCTCCACCAGGCACAGTTTGAGGAAAGTGAAAGCAGTGCTTAACACTAGATTTTATTTTGTGAGTGGTTTCGCATCTAGCTTGTTAATGCCTCCCCTTGGGATTATAGGTGCGTAGAGCACAGCCCTACGCCCCGCAATCTCAGGGTTGCCCCTATCTGAAAAATATGCCCCTTTCCTGCACCTTTGTGGCAAAGGCAGTGGCAACAGAGAATCTCTTGTGTGTTGCATCGTGTTGCACAGAGGAACTTAGTAGGCATTTTTGCCTTAGCGGTGCTAGCATGGTCGTGCATAGCGTTTCTGAATGGAAGCCCTGCCAGAGCTCCAGAGGGAGAGGAACGCGAGGTTTGCATCTCTTGCAGTCACACACCCCAGTTTTGGCCCTCCTATATTGCAGCTCTCTGCTTATTCCAAATCACAAGCTTGTTCTCTTTCATCTCCTCTTGTGCACGCTCCCCTACCACGTGCGCGAGCACGCTGACTCATCACCTCCTAGACGAAGGCCCATTCACAAAGTATCGTTTTGCTATGTTTGACTACAAACTGAGGACTTTCTTTGAATTACGACGGCGAGTTACCACACCATCTGTGCTTTGCATGAAGCTTGGAAGCCAATTCAAGGAGTAGATTGGCACGCAGTATATGAAGCACAGAAATGCCGGTGACTTGACGTTGTATCAGTTGGGCTGTGTTCCAAAATTGGCTCATTCTCACTACAGAATATAAAGTTTAGTACCATAATGTTCGTAAACCTACCTCTTTTCAGCATCACTCTGTCTGTGTTGTCATGTGATACGACTTGTTAGAGCAACTCGAATGAACTCGAGTAGGATTGGGAACACGGCGAACGCAACATAGTCAAACGTTGCTTTGTGACTGGGCCTTAACAAGGCTATAGTGCTGGATTTTCTTTGGGTCACTTATCCGGAGGCCAGCGTGGTGTGCGGATTTAACATCAGTGTTGCATCAGCATTCAGCTGAGACTCATGTTCAATCAGTAAGAGCACGAGTTCCATCCAAACGCTGACACAGCACCCGTGGAACGTTCTTTCGCAACAGCACATGCAAAATCTGTGCTAGGAGCCAGCCCTATAACACATTCTGTCTTAAAATTAAGTCGTTCCCCCCCCCCCCCCCCCCCCCCCACCAACCCCCCCACTTCGAAAACATAAAGTTGCCTTGTCCTGAAAAAAGTTCTGCAGATGTCCTTTTCCACAGGAATGTTTTAGAGGCGAAGCTCCTTAGGGGCTAGCCATGTCAGTATGTCCGTCTGCCGTCGGGTGCACATGCTCCTGCTCGTGAGCTCATGCGCTCACATTCTCATGAGCACGTGAGCACATGCTCCCGTGCTCGTGTAGCGCAAAAAAACAAACAAACAACCGCATCTCCACGTGGTGAATGATGTTGATTGGGCAAAGCTCTGGTGGTGCTTGTCTGCGTAGATGGTGAGCCGCAGCATGCCGAGCCTTTCATTCGTTTTCATCCATGTCAGAAAAAGAATGTGTGGTATGGAATGTGGTTATATACGCATTTGAGCATTTGACTGCAGCGTGACATGGATGAAAACGAACGAAATGCTCGGTATGCTGCGGCTCAGCGTCTACGCAGACAAGCACCACCAGAGCTTCGTCCCAATCAACATCATTCACCACGTGGAGATGCAGTTGTTTTTTTTTCTCTTATTTTGATCCTGTCCAATAAGGACACATCTGTGCTAATGTTGTAAACAACTTGCACACTACATCAGAATGGGAAATAATTGATTGTTAGTGTATGAATACTTATGCTTGAATTTTAAATGAAAATGCTTGCAAAATGTGCTTTGACTTCAGCGCGTATTACCCTTTTTAAACCAAACTTCAGAGTAAGATGCGTAACTACAGTAGAGCTTTTAGGGAGAAAAAAGTGAGCTCTTAAGGGTTGCACACTTCAAAATTTCACTTGTACTTCAGCACTATAATCAAGACTCTAGGAATGACTTAGCTTCCACAAAAATCAGCAAAACTTCATAGCTCCTACCTATCCTTGGTCACTCTTTCTACTTTTCCTTTCTTCTCCCCTTTGATTCCCTCTCAGGACGAGAAATGCCCTTTCTAGCAGACAAAACTTTTGCTTCAAGATTATCCTCTATACAATATTTTTGTAATATTTAGTAGTAGCGTGGCCATTTTATTGATTTAAATATATTTTTTTTCCTTTTCAGGTGAATGGTGATCTTCCACCAAGAGTGAAGAAAGATGCCCATGCGTTGATATTAGAGTTTATTCGGTCAAGACCTCCACTTTTTCCCGTAAGTATAGTATGGAAAGTCCCATTTAAGTTCACTCTTGCTCTTCTATCGCAAGAAAATATTAATTTTGAAAACATCTGAGGATCACAAAATCACTTTTTTTTTGGTATGTTCCATTTCACTATAAACCAAACTGTGGTGAATGCTGTTCACCTACTCAAAAGCATGGAGTCCACACCTTCACTATCCAGCCTATACATCGCTCCACCTAACTCCTTCTGTAAAATTATAGGACTATTATAATAGTTTTTTCATTTCTCACACAGTAGAATGATGATTGAAAAACTTTGAGCCTCTTGAATCTCAGAAGCTCCCAAGTGACATAATTGATGCACCTTACATTTCATACCTTGGAGTGGTAGGCAAAACACTTTAAAAAATGTATTGAAATACAGATACAAATTACACTTCAACAGAAACGTGTTTATAATACAAATCCAATGACACTTTTTAGAAAAGTATTTAATAACACGATACAATTACAATGGGGTATTTGATCGTCTTCAACTACTTTGACAAATAAATTTTGTTCCCATAGTCTAGACATCCTAGATTTATATTTAACCTTGGGTAAAAAAAAGATTGCCCAAAAAGGCTCGAGGTATACTTAAGCACTTCTTACGAGTTGTGAATGCGAAAGCATGTACATCATTCTTCCGCTGTGCTCTGCCGACAAGGAGAGAGCCGCTCTGACCTTGGACGTTTCATGTTGCTGCGCTGACGGACGGACACGCAGCGCCATGGGGTGGCCGGTCCTTGAAACAGACGTGCAGCCGTCAGTTTCAACGACCGGCCACCCCATGGCGCTGCGTGTCCGGCCAACGGGAGCTTCATTGATGCGCACCAGCCGATGGGACTGAAGCCAAAAATCCATCAGCTTTACTCTGCTGCTTTGAGATTGGGTAATTTTGGTGCCGCTGGTTAGCTTTGCGTGCGGTTTCATAGCTGGGAGCTGACTTCACTTGGAGAAAGGATTTAAGGTGCCTTTTGGCACAGTTTCAAAGCTGATGACGTCGACCTGCCCCATGAGACAGTTAATGCTCTCGCATTAATAAAGAGTGGAGTTTATATATATCCTGTAAACAATTTAATTTTCGTGGGCTCAAATTTTCGCAAATCAAGCCAAAGCTAAAAATTTGAAATTATTCGCGGTTTCTAATTTTTGCCAATCGAGTGTAGCTTCCGTAGCGTTGACATATTGCCCGAATTGTTAATGGGACATATTTTTCGCGAATTGTAGGCGATTTGTGAAAATTAGGTCCTCGCGAAAATTTAATCGTTTACAGTATGCCAAGAATCAAGTACTTAAAAAAAAGTTGCAGCTCTAAAAATAAAATTTGTTTGTCATTAGATAAATGGGTATGTCAAAAACACAATGTATTCAGTACAAGTTTAGTCTGAAAGGCTCAACTAAAGCAATAAAGACGTTCCAAACATGTCATTAATGCAACATTTAAAAAATTAAATTAGTCAACCAGAAAGTCAGTAATTAAGCCCATCCCGTTTATCCCTTGTTCTACTCTTCCGTTTTTTTCTTATACATGCTTATCATGAGTAAAGCGCAGCAAGTTTATTGCTCTTTGCATATCACTCGCATTGCAAAGAGCGCATAATATCGCTAATCATGTCATATAACACTTGAGACTGTGGTGGAAGAAATTGGAAACTTTTTAGTAGAAGGAACAGACACAAAGAAGGACGTCTCAAACTCAGCTAACTGGTTTATTTTTCGACCAACCTATATATATACCCACGAAGCCCTTTCCAGCCACACTCTACGCAGAAAACTCCTTTGTTGAAAACAGTTCCAAATGGAGAGAACATACATGACACACAAAGAAATCAAGCGCACGCACAGACAAAAAGTCCCTTATCTGTAGGACGCCTCGGGACATGGTAGTGAACCTGATAAAATTGCCGACGTCAGCACACATAAAACGAGGACACTGCAGGGCATCGCAGTGACCTTGAAAGAAAAGTGCCGAACTATCCTAAACAGTAGCACCAAAACCACACATACCCTTAAAAAAAATACTTTGAGAGAAGAATTATTTCGGTGAAACACATCTTGGGTGACCTCCAAACCGCGGCGACGTACCCTAACCTCATATTGTCCCCCTGATCTCCCTTTTTCCCTTTTCTTTTCCCTTCCCTTTTCTCGCGAATCAATGTGTTCGTTTATAGTCTCGGAAACTTTCTGGAGTTGCTTCCAAGTTGCATTGATGCTTGGTTTATGCAGTTTCCCATTGATTTTATACTTATCGTTTCTTTAACGACCCTCTTAATATAATCTCGCTCTTTATGTAGAACCTCCGTTTCTGATCAGTGCGCAGTACAGTTGTTGCATTCCTCGATGTGCTTTGCGATTTCAGAGTTCGGCGCTTTCGTGTTTACATTTCTCTTGTACTCTAATGACCTATTGTTGAGGCATCTTGAGGTTTGTCCCACATACTTGACTCCGCATAATATTCCACTTGATTGCAGAGAGCAGAGAGCTGTGCCCAAAATTGTATTTGGACAGCATTTGAAATACTCAACTTTTTTGTATTTAAGTACAAGTACTTAAGTACAAGTACATTCCTTAATATGATATTAAATACAAAATATTTACAGGTTTTTTAAATTGCATAGCATGTAGTAGAGCACTGCACGGGCCACTTTTTTTACTATTTGCCCGCCCAAGCCCGGCCCAGGTGTTTGAAACCGGGCCCCGACCCGGCCTGAGCCGAAGCGATTTCTATGTTACCCGTCCCAGCCCGGCCCACTACCTTTTAAAACAGGCACGGGCCCAGTCCAGAATTTTATGTAATCTTGTCTACACTTTGCCGCATGGAGTACGAAAGTATTAGGCAACGTAATTTGATCCAATTACCGTATATACGCGTGTAATAAATGCAGGTATTTTTTTATGATTTTGGGCGAGAACTAAGGGTGCGACCACCGCCTCGGTGTCTCCAGGGCAAAGCGCCGGCCTACGGATCCCCAGGTGGCGGGTTCGAATCCCGCCACTTGGGGTGCTGTAGGGGTGCGACTATTACATGGAGAAAAACAAAAACATTTTTTTGGAAATCCTTTTTTTTTGTTAACAGTTACACTAATTGCCTTCATTAAATGGAAGTACTTGGACGTCTTGGTAGAACAAAAAAAAAACATATATCGGTATTGCATAGACAGGTATGCAAAGTCCTTTTCACTCGTCCGTAGTAGAGCACTCATCTTCGGAACTCGTCTCGGCGTCTGTCCCAAATGAAGTCATCTTCCGTACCATCCAGCTTGTTGGAAATTCCAGTTATTTTGAAGCTTTTTGCCATGATATTGAAGGAAACTGCGCTTATGCTTCGAGAATCCAGCCACAAACCTCTACAAGGGACGCCTTCTTCAGCCGACCAGTCGGTTTTTTCTGGTGGATGTTTGTGTCCATCCACTGAGTGTACGCACGGCGAAATCTGCAATAGAAGGGCTTGTTCACTGAAACGTTCAGTGGCTGAAGCATGCCGGGCATACCTCCAAGTATGATGGCCGAATTTGTTTCCGACGCGCAAAGGCGTTCTCGCACACCCTCAGTCGGGTGTTCCCGAAAGCTATCCAAGATGAGCAGCGATCGCGTGTCGAGGTTCACACCTTGTCGCTTTTTCCAAACACAGGTCAACCAGTCTTTCACCAGTTCATCCGTCACCATCCTTTCTCTTGTGCTCGAACAAATATGCCGTTAGGGAACGGCTCTGTGGGTACACGTTTTCTTTTAAAAACGACGTAAGGTGGAAGTTTTCACCCGTCTGCTGTGACACAAAGTATGACCGTACATCGCTGTCTTTCGGCACCTATTGTGAGGACATGGACGCTCTTGGTACCTTTCGCATCTACCGTCGCGTTTTCTGGTGCGTCAAACCAAACCGGCGTTTGGTCCGCGTGCCTATCTGCGACGGTATGTAACCATGGTCTTTTTGCATCTTGATAACAAACCTCTGGAACGTGAGCAGCTTTTTTTCATACTCTTCTTGTAGACATTGACACATTTTTGTACGACGGCGGATGCACAGGTTCCTTCTCTTCATAAAATGCTGAGTCACTCCATTGCTGGCTTTGAAAAAAGTTGCCGGTATGTTCTTGTCCCGTGCAATGTCGAGCGCTTTCATGCGCAGCATCTTCGTCGAAACCACGTAGCCATTGCCCCCAGTGCTTGTTACGAATTGAAGGAGCAAATCTTTAACTTCGGGAAACGGGCTCTGCTTGCCCCGGGAAGTGCGCTTTGTAGTCTTGGTCTTCCTTATTTCATCTTCTTGGGAGCACCAAGGGCGTAGACATTTGTCGTCGACACCGAACTTTCGCCCGGCCGCTCTTTTGCTGTTGTCTTGAGTAAAGGTAACAACTTTGAGTTTAAAGCTTGCCGTGTAACTCGCATGCTTGCCCATCCAGAAGCCTGAAGTGGATGACAGCGGGAAACCGGGGGGTACTCGGCAAACACAAAAAGATGCACTGCATCTGGTTAGAGATAAAGTGAGAGGCGCAAACAGAGAGGATAGAGTGCCTCAATGTCGTTGGCTGCCGCTGCCGGGTGTGTACCATCTGCCAGCAGTACTTAAAAGACAAAAACAAAAAACAACATCCTTGAGTTTTTGCGCTACGAACTAGATATGTTTCCAGCCATTCTAAAATCATAGGTGCAGCCTATAAACGGGTAATTTTGAAATATATTTTTTTTCTGCTTTTTTTGTTTGAAGTTAGGGGTGCGGCTATTTCTTGATTGCAGCCATTAGACACATCTATATGGTAATATGACTGTTGAGGGTGGATTGCTGGTACGCAAATTTTTTTTTTTGTATGTCGGAACCTGACGGAGCTACGAACACTTGTAAATTTAACTAGGCTATGTTGAATTGTGACACCAAAGAGTGATATTAGTCTTAAAAAATAATAAATTAACAAAAAGTGGGATCTATGAGTTCATTGGCCTATAGACCTAAGCAACAAACGGCAACTCCGGCCTCAATTTTTTTTAT